TGGAGCCTATTTTATAGTTAGTGGAGCTATACTGCCCTCTGCTGTATCTTCTTAGCACTTACAGTCCTGCGAAGGAAATAATCATTAAAGCCTTACCAAACTCATCAAATAACCCTGTCCCTTTCTGACCCACAGTTGACAGTAAAAGGAACAGATATGCAGATAACAGCCATTAATTTTTATTTAGGGTATCAGTTTAAAACTTGAAGGTTCTGTTTTAGGATAGTGCTGTCCATTATGAAGAAATTGAATTGCATTTTATAGTTTTAGTTTTTTTAGTAGTATAGGAAATTGAGGATGGAATAACTTTAAGATTTTAACTCTATCAAAAATATTTCAAAATATGTAATCAAATAAGAAATTATTGAAGTATTTTTATATTACATCTTTGAAATTTGATATATTTTATTTATGATTAAACAGATTCCAACTTACGAAATATTCATTGGAAATATTTTTTCTTTAAAATTCACTAAATGTATAGCTGAAAGGTGGATTTACATCTTGAAATGGATCCAAGCACACTAACTTTTCTAAATGAATTAAGTCTTAGAGTTTTAAGTTTCTATTGAATGAAAGTTAAAGAAAATTTAAGTATTGAGTCACACATTTCAAGTGCTTGATTGTCCAATACTGTGTACAGTAACTCTGGAGGATTTTAAGAGAATAGACATCTTTTGGTTTTTATTTTTTAAGCAGTAGAACCCAGGTCCTTTTTCATTCCTTACAGGCCATAGTCAGAATGTTACTTCTTGTAGTCCTTTAAAGGAAGCACCAGTTCTTCAAAGGCAGTGAGATTATTTAGTATCCTGGGGGTTGGACTATCCCCTATACCCCATCTGTGACAGTCACAGTTGTGGAAAGGGCACCTAAGCATTTTTAGGAGTAATTTGTAGCTGCTTATTTGTATAATTTCTATGAGGGGGGTCTATTTTACAGCTTAGAAATATTTTCTCAGTTTTGTTCTGCTACAGAACCTGAAGAATCTAGTATTTTCTAATCTTTCAGAAATGAGTGGCATCTGAGCCTTTTCTCTTTCCATCCAAAAATTTTTTTATCTTTAAATTTTGTATGAGTGTTTTGCTTGAATGTATGTTTGTACACAGATGCATGCAATGCCCACATAAGCCAGAAAAGGATATTGAATCCCCCAGAACTGGAGTCTAGGGCATTTGTGAGCCATCATGTGGGTGTCAGGTCCCTCCATCAGAATATTTATGATATGCAGAGAATATATCCTAATACTTTTCACAGTGGACTTTTAAGAATAAAATGCTCAGGAATCTATTTTAGTGTGTCACTATATTAGTATGTCATGATAGTACAGTTTTTTTCATGCCTTCCTAACACATTTAACAATTCCTAAGGTTAGAAAAGTAATAGTGGTATAGTAAGAGGAAATAAGATGGTAAAGAGCTCTTTAAGCTGATAAAGATGAACCTTAGCTAATCAGAAAGTCTTAGTAGATTCTCATGAACTGAAAAAACCTTTGTTAAAATACCAAAGAACTGGAGCTCAGTGTGGTAAAGTGAATGTTGAGTTTGTACAAGGTTTGGATTCAGTGTCCAGAGCTCCCTGTACCCACTCCCCAAAGTCCACAAGGAACTATAATATTGAATGAGTCTAAAAATAAACTATTGTTAAGACCTTAAAATTTACCTGACTTACATTCAGAAGTATGGTGGACAAATAATATGCATTGATACTCTCTCAACATGCAGTTTTTATGGGTGTGATTAAATGGGGATGGAGAGGTTTGCTTTGTTTTGTGGTGTTAGAGATTAACTATTGCTATCTTTGATTTACCCTTTCCCTTCCTTTCCTTCTTCCCTTCCCCCTGCCTCCTTCCCTCTTCTCTCTCTGATGAAGCAGAGTTGGAGTTTATTAAGAGGATTTATAGATTTAAGGATTGGCATCAAGGGAGAGAGGTGGGGCTTAGGAAAATGTCCAAATACGCTGATTTTTTTTTTTTTTTTCTTTTTAAATCTGCCATTCTGTTTCACAGCTGACCAAATGCTACCTCTATTTTGGATAAACTTTCTTCATCTGTTCAATCTAAGCTTTCTTTTATCTTTCAGGCATTTGAACACTTACAACAATTGGAATTAATAAAACCCATGGAAAGAACATCAGTCAGTTCACAGAGAGAATACCAGCTGGTGAAACTACTTTTAGACAATACTCAAATCATGAGTGCTCTACAGAAGTACCCCAACTGTCCTACAGATGTTAGGCAGTGGGCCACATCCTCACTAAGCTGGCTGTGAATGTTTTAAGTATACTCCAAAGAACTGAATTTGACTGTCATTTATCAAGATATATTATTAACATTCCTTTGTATTTATAAATGTTTATGGGAAATTTGCACTTGTATTATCTTGGCTGTAATGTGAATTATTTTTGTGATTATATGTACATACACAAAAAATTCCAATGATTGATTAAATTGTGCTACAGAAAGCAGTTCAAAAGAATAAAATATTACTGTTTTACAGATGGTCCATATATTTATTTGATACTAAAAGTATTTATGTGGTTCATTTTAAGAGGTTTTTTGAACTAAGCACTTACATTTTTACAAATCGTAAGTGTAAGCAATAAACAGTGGCAGGAATTGTGAAGATACATATTTTGATTGTAATAGGAATGCTATGTGTTTGGAGAATATTTTTGTTGGGGTTTTTTATTGTTGTTGTTTTTTGTTTTGCTTTTTTTTCTCTCTTGTATACATGCAGATTTTGGATTCAGTTCCAGAACTCTAGTATTCTAGTTCAGGACGTTGACAAGCTTAGCTGAAAGGTAATTTTTATAGAAGGTAAGGACAAGCAACTTGGAATTTTCAGAATCCCTTGTAAAAATTTTTTATAAATATACATTCTGAGCCTACTCTAACTCAGGTCACAATTTGCCTTTTTAATATGTACCTTCAGGGATTCCTGGTACACTGCACGCACACATAATGAGAGGTATTTAGCAGTAATAGCTATTTGCTTCAAAATTCCCTAAGATTGACACAAGTGTCAAAGATCCACCTTACAGATTTCAGGGCTCTACAAACAGTCACTCAGTGACTTCAGTTGTTCAAGGATACTTGATTGTATATTTTATAACAGAAATTTTTTTAAAAATGAAGCCCATCTTTTAACTGTCAGGAGTTACTATTACTTACAGAGTAGATAACTAACGCAATAGTAGTGTAGTAGTGGTGTCCAGAATCATGACATGGGAATGGCTGGTGTACCCTACAATTAACTTGGTTTAATTGACACTAAAGCATACATTACAAGAACTAAAGCTCAACAACAGGTTCCTTCTTTTTACAGGATGCTATAGCAAAGAAATTAAGCTTTTGAAGAAATAGTCAATTTAGAGTACAACATAAGATTTCTCTTCATGAAAGTAGTGCTTGCATAGGTAAAACCCATTCTCTTCATACACAGCCTTTACTACAAAAAACTGCTAAGCCTTTTAGGTCTTCAGATTACTGTTGTTTTTCAGCAGTATCTCATTAAAGATAAGGCTTGCATAGTGATTTGATGCCATACTCACATTTTTAGAGGTAGGTTTTCCAAATATAGACCAAGCAAAAATTTCCTTTTCAAAACATTGTAACCAGACATGATGTGTATATTCCCAGCACTCCAGAATGCTTAAGAAGGATCAAGGGTTTGTGGCTAGCCTGGGCTACACATTAAGACCCTGTTTCAAGAAACAAAAATATTGCCTTAAAGGATAAAGCCTAATGACATGATCACTGAAAATTCTTATGGTGATTAAAAGCTGAGTCCAAACTGGGGATGGTGGCACATGCCTTTAATCCCAGCATTCACGGAGGAGGCAGAGGCAATCGGATCTCTGAGATGGAGGCCAGGCTGGTCTCCAGAGTGAGTTACAGGCCAGCTGTGGCTACAGGGAGACCGTGTCTCAAAAAAGACACCCCCCCACACCAAAAAAAAAGAACGGAGTCCTCATCTGCTTCCCTCACTATATAAGAACTAGAGAAGATCCATCAGCAGCCATGTATTCAAATTTAAAAACAAAGAGGCAAGGTAAATTTTTTAGTGGTTGCAATAAAATACAGCAATGTATGACTGATGTATGACTTGATAACCTTGTGTTGTGTGATTTTGAAAACACTTTTGTGAGGGGGGCTGACTTTGACCTTTCCATATTCCCTAATACAAAGGAGCTAAGGTGTACTTTAAAATTTTTTAACTTTACCTCATAAGTTGTTTAAAGTATATGTTTTTTTAAAAAGTTTAAAATTTTTTTATTATGTGTAGCATGGAATTGCACACCTGTCCTCTCAGCACTTGGGAGGTAGACTCAGAATCGATCAGCAGTTCAGGAGGCTTGATAAATAGCTGATTCCAGGCTAGCCACAGCTGTCTTTAAAAATGAGTCATTGATGAACAAATGAATAATTTCAGTGCAGGAATTTCCCCCAAAACTAGAATCTTGTTTAAAAGGCATCTCTGGTTCATATGCAGATACATGACTCTGGGAAATTAAAGTCTGTTGTCCAAACTTAGGTATCATAGTGTTTGTATGGTGAGAACATAGTATATGTTGACCTTCTAAAGACTTAGATTTTGCCGTGGCAAACAGCTGAGTAGTATTTCTGTCTCAGTCATGCACATCCCACCATGGTTTGCCTTTTGATTTGGTTTAGGAAACAGTTCAGGTTCTTTCAAAACATGGTAAATTAAGTATTGCCCTTTCCTTTACCTTTATCCTAGAAAAAAGTTGGCTGGCATACACTGAGCAATGCCAGTGAGTTCATGGATTTCTTCTGTAGGCAGGGCCAACATAGATACTTGGGTCAGAGTATGGTCTGCTTAGAGGGAACTGGAAGGAAAATGCTCTAGTTGACAAACCTCCCTGCCTTCATCACTATCCCCATTCTTAGAAATCTCAAGGCAGAGGCCTCACTGTAAAATACAAAGGTATATTCACAGCTAAAGAAAAACTGCATGTCAAATATCATATTCATTTTTTATTTAATGTAGGGATGGAATGGGGATAGCATACATTTTATTTGTACAATATTTAACAATCACTTATCCAGGGTGGGATTTTATGGGCATTTTTTTTTCTTTTTTTAGCTTTCTGTTAAATACTTGCAGAAAAAAATAGCAAGTACAATTTGACAGTAGTACAACATCCTGTGCCGAAACACTGACAAGAAATACAGAGTAAAGCTAAAATAATTACCAATATTTTGAGAGGTAACAAATACGACATGGGTTGAGACTGCATAAAAAACGTACTGCTGGTTGAGTATCTGAGGTAAATGATGTTCAATCAAGATGCTACTTGGATCATTTTGTCCATAAATTGTAAATAATTTTATGCACATCATACCAAATGTTCCTATAATTTTTTTCAAAAAAGTAAAAAAGAGAAACTGGAAAATATCTGATGAAGTATTTTTTTTAAAAAACAGTATTCAGTCTATTCCACTAAACTACCATCTACCTGGTCAGGGTTTTTTTCCCAACCAACCACCTGCATTTTACTTAAACGTGGCTATTAAGGGTAAGGAAAAGGGATAGAAGAGATGTTGTTTTCATAATTTTTTGATACATGATTCCATTTTTAAATTCTAAAGGTGTCCAGAATTTTTTTCCTGATTGTATTTTCAAAATGTCACCATGAAAGACAGTGCAGGTTCATGGGAAGAGTAATTGTGAGGCACAGTCTCTGTTCTGGATTCACAAGGTACCTGTAATAAAACATTCAAACAAGAATCACAAATCACATGCTAAAAACTTCCTAGCATCTAAAATACAAGATCTGTGCAGGGCAAAGGCTTCAAATAAAGTCAAACACTGGTTAATCCATCAGTCCTATGGCAGTTGATCATAAAGCATTTCTTACACAGGAGATCTGGGCAAGGTAGAAGAGATAAGTAAGAGCAGCAGTTCCAGTGGGTATCAGAAAGGCAAAGTATAAGACAAACCATGAGGAGCACCATACACATGAAGGGTTACAAGGGTCTGTTTGCCATTCCCCCCAAAAATCATTTTTCTCATTCTTTGATTTTTTTCCAGTGTCTCTAGCTCAAACTATTTTACTTGCCCACTCTGCACTGACTGTAAACCAAACATTAAAATGCCCTGCAAAAGAAAGCTTTAACAAGATTAGGTAGAAGGACAGGTAGTCACTGGAACATTCTTATTTACTGCTTATAAAAAAAGGTTTTCTGTTAATATAGTTCTCAAGAGAATAAGTTTTAAAATTGATTAGCTGTATTTAAATAGAATACCCAAGGTTTCTAAAAAAATTTCCTAGCATGAAGACAAAACAATTTATACTGTGAGTAACTAGTCTTAATAAAAGTTCTCAGTAGCTCTTTTCCCAAGCCAAACATTCATCATCATATTTCTTGGTTTTGCTTCAGCTTTTTTTATATATAATTTTTTAAAGGGTTGGATGTTTACAACAGGTAGAAATTTGTGTTAACAATTTGCCTATACGCATATTCTGTTATGTTTTCCCCTTGATTCATTTACAAGTGGAATCCACCCAAATCAAGGACTTGAGTGGCCAAGTATCTTGAAATCAAAATGGTAAACATTGAAACGGGCAATTTTACAAATACAGTGAGACCTTAGGTATATACACAAAGAGCACACTTTTCTATGGTGTGGGACACAGACGAAAGAATGCTATTACTCCCCCCCCCGCCCCCTGCTTAGAGTCTGTTGACATATGTATTGTTTATAGTTTATTCCCAGAGATTAGTACACATTTTATGAAAAATGTAGTGTATAATGTCATTAAACAACCATTTAGAAGATAATGCATTCACAGTGAGCTCCTGATAGTAACGTAAAATAAGTTTATAAAATTAATGTATGGATTTTAAAATAACCCGACAAAAATGTACAGAGCATAATACTGGCTATTTTTTGGAAATCTAAAAATTCAGGGAATTAATGTTTACTTGGGCCTGTATAAGTTTGAGGAAGAATCGAATTATATTCTAATGTAGTATTACTTCAAAAAGCACTTTGGCACATACCTGCCATTGCTTCCATTTCTTTTAGCAAGCATAAAGCATAAACTAAGAGTTAGCTGTAAAAGTAATCCGGGGAGGAGCCTATTCTATGTTTCTGTATCAGCACTGATTACCTCTAAATGTCATTGCATATTTTATGAGTTCAACTTGTTATCCCTGATTTGTTTTAAAGCAGTAACATCTGAAATCTGTGCTTAGAGGTTAATATCTCTCCTCAGATACTACTTCTATCACAGACACCAAATATTACCCTGACAAGATGGCACCAAGCAGAAGTAGAGTGATAAAATTACAAGTCTCAAAGCAGAGTGAGGAATTCTGAGTAATGACACTTCCTGAGGTGATCCTGAAACAGTGATAAGAATGTCCCACATACTGTTTGGTGAAAAGAAATACACCACAATTTTACATATATAAATAGGAAAAACATCTATTTTAAAAGATAAAATGAAGAGCTTTCCAGTGTCACAGCTCATGTAAAAAAATTTTAAATCATGCTTTATGTTTTCAAATATTTCCCAAATAC